TGATGCCTTATCATGCTTTGATATTTGTGATATTCCTGCTCTCCCTTACCGGTATACCCTTCAGTGCTGTGTGGCAGATAATTAACATGTAAAACAGCTTTTGGAGTTGGTGAAGCTACAGTTAGAATCTTGGAAAATTAGGACTGAGAATTGTTGCATGGAACAAAATTGCCTTTTTTATGTAAAAGCTGTTCTTTTAACATGGTGAGATGAAAACAACATACACTCAGTAAATAATACACTCAGTAAAAAATTTTATATCGGTGACATTATTAAATTCTGGTATATTTACTGGAGAATACATTTGAAAAATTAAAACATAATTTGGTCAAGTAGCAGTTTTCTCCAACCTGATCTAAGTATGATGAACCAGCAACTCAGATAATTTCACTCTTCTGGTCATATGTCATCCTCCTAGAATAATAATTTTTTAAATTAAAGGAGAGAAAACTCAAGGAGAAAAATGTTTCTCAATGGCCTGATCTTCATATATAGGGGAATGAGAATCTCAACCAGTTTTTCTGCTAAGTCTGTGGTACTTTACCGAGCTCCTGGGAGTGAACCTGCACTCATACACCCCAGATTAGTTTCTTCAGTAATCAGACAAGACTTAATTTTTTATGGTTTCAGCAAAACATTCAAGTAATTGCATAGTTGCATTTGCAGATAGCCAGTTCCCAAATGGCAAGGTGTCCTAGTAAGTAAGTAACTGATTCTGGGAAGAACATGGCTAGTTGCCTCCTGTTCTTCACCTTACGTCAAGGGGTGAAGATCCTGGAGAAGGGTGCTTTGCAGAGGCTGGTCTTCTTCTGGCACCCGTTAGGTCACTGTTAGATAGAACTGATCCTACCTTAATTCATCCATATTCGCTGGGCTTGCTCTTCAGCATAGGGTTTAGACTGATTCAGTTTGATCTCATTTTGGGTCAGATCTTTACCTCTTTTGGAATGAATTTCTCTACTCCTTTCCCCTCCCTCACTCCTGATTAGGCAGCCAACATTAGAGGCCCCATGCAGACTCACAGTCTTCTAAGAAGCCTAGTCAGTGGTTTCCCGATAAGGATTTGCTTCCGAATTCTCTGGGGACACTTGGAAAAACTAGAACTACTACCAAATTACATAATTTGGTTGAAATCCAGCTTCAAAAGGTTTAGTAGAGGCTCAGCACCTGTAGTTCAAGCAGCTAGGGTGCCAGCCACAAGCTGCATACTCTGTACCTGGCTGTGTGTGCTGGGTGCTAAAGATCTCGATGGAGACATAAATGAATTTCAGGGAAACATGAATGGGTGAAGAGAGGCGACACAGCACTGAAGAGGGAGAATTTCACAATGCTCAGAGAGATGGTCAGGGAGAGGAGTTTGCTGGGTAGAGAAGGGCCTTCACAGCAGAGACATTAGGCAGTGCAAAGGTATGGAGATGTGAGAGGTCCTCCTATGTGTGGGAAATGAGAAGACACGAAGTAAAAGTGGCTACAAGCAGTAAGGGTATAACCCAAGAAAATCCCCTGGTGTTAAAAGACATGAGTTACAGATTGAAAAGAGTTCGCTGAGTGTCTACCAGTGAATGGAAAAGACTCAGTTGTTAGCATATCCTATTAACATTCAGGACTCCAGGGATGAGTAAAGGATCCTGCACACTTTCAGAGAGGAAAAAATAATTGTTAAAAGGTTTAGTAATCAGTGTAGCATCAGGCTGTTTGATGCCACCTTAGAAACAAGAAGAAAATGAAGTAATACTTTCAAAATTATGTAGAAAATTATTTCCTACCTAGAATCTCATACCCAGATTCTCAAAACATTATATTCTTTGTGTTGTGTCTAGGTAGCTAATGATAAATGAGTGCTGTCAAAACGAGGCAATAAACCAAGGAAGTGAAGACAAAAAATCCAAAGACAGGGGTTTCCACAAAGGAAGGAGGCAAAAGAAGGTCTTAGGATTGTGGCAAAGGGAAGTCCCAGTCCCAGTCAGGCCTGGGGACCACCATGTCAGCCAG